CGACTGTTTCCACCTGTACTTGCGGTGCCTTCTCAGTTGTTTTGAATTCGCTGGGTGGAACTAAACTCGCCTTCTTTTTGCAAATGAAATTGTACCCTCCACGTATCGAGTAACTACAAATGTTAGCAGCCTATTGTCCTTTGTGAGAATAATTGATCAATATACACATCGGAAATGATCCAGTAACGTCTGGTTGACCCGGATACCAATCAGTATAGTTGAACGTTGAGTTATCTTGCCAGTACCACGCTGATTCAGGCGTATCATGTTTACCATCGATCCAATACCTACCATTCCTATGGAATATCTCTGAAGTGGTACACTCTGAAGAGCTGAGGAGTTCTATCATTACTATGACTGCCATTATTATCATCATCATTGTTTTCAATGTGATCGAATTCAGAAACATCGAAACACAATTTCCCAACGATAGTTCCCAAGCGATACTCAACGTGTCTCAGTTGCTTTCAACTCCTTATAGTCGCTGAAAGATCAAGATAGGGATGCGGACACCTCGTTATCGAATCGTCATTTTTGAGATCAGTAATTAGAGCACGAAGGATAAATTCTCACTGCTTATCACAGCAGTCGATACTCNCACCGATGCGACAGTTGAATTATACTGACGACAACCCGCAATAGCTTCGGCAAAGTTATATTCTTGGGATGCGTTCATTTCAAGGGCATATATCTGCAATAGGACGCGAGGATTCTCATGATGAAATGATAATAGCTGGACGGTTGGAATCCGATCAGCACAATACGCAAAATGACGGTTTCATATCAAGAAGTGCTCAGCTGAGACCATATAATCCGAATAATTCCCCTGTTTTGTTGCTGTTACCCGTTCATCCCGTAGAGCAGCAAGACTCGTCTACTCTACCTTTAATCCCAGTTGGTCCAGCAAATGCAATTCCTCAAAGAAGGAACAACCGGATAATGAAGGATGCCACATCTTACCGGAAGATAGCACGAGTCCGTCTCGACCAGATATGCCCAGTCTTCATCACATCTCGCCATTGCTTTCACTGAAAGGATAGGCGGCATGTTTCCGGAGGATTTACAAATCCAATAAAGGAGAATTTTTGAGATATTATTGAATTTCCTAAA